TTCAAAAGTGAAACGTAGAAATAAAGAGTGACGGTTAGCAGAATATTCACCAATTAAAACTTGTATTGTAGCTTAAAGGTTGTGCCAAAGAAACGTCCTCATTTAAGTGACTTTAAAGTGAAATTGTACAATTAAAAAAAAAGTTTATTTAGTGTTTTAAAAAAATGTTTAAAAACGTTTAAAAAAACTAAAACTCATCATAAATAGGTAGAATAGTCCCCGATCTCTTATTTCCCCTTAACCTTATTTTCGTGCGATATTAAAGAAAGATTTTAAAATTTTTGTAGGTAACTTCTTGGTACAAAATCATGAGTTTTATGAAATAATTCACGATGTTATAATTTAAAAGTTGGAAAATAACCTATCAGATAACAAAGAGAAAGTTTTATACTTAAGGTCAGTGGAGGATTCGAGTCGATATTTAAAATAGAACGTACGACGCATCTATTTATTGGGTTGGGGTCCACTGGTACCCGTGTGACCATTACGCTATTTTTTGAAGGTGTGACCATTACGGGTTAATTTTTGCGCGGAAAGGCCACTACTTCTAGTCCTACTACTGGGCCAAGTTTTAAATTGATATCTCAGCCTTTTGAATTTTGGCCACAAAATAGGGTAAAATTTCCCATAGTGCAGAGGTGAAGTTGTAAGTCTTCAGATGCACTTCCCACTTTTTCCGCTTATGTACGTTCATAAGCTGCCGAAACTCCGCGTTGAGATCCCTAAAACGAGGATTTCCGGGATCGACCTGACGAAGGTTGTCGCGCTCATCCGCTAGAACAACCGCTTCGGCAGGGAAGTTTGGACGGGGGTCCATAATGCATCCTGCCGGTACGAAGCGAGCTGCAGCAGCAGTGACAACCCTGCGGAACTTACGTTCACCAAAGTGGACGTCGGTTGGTGTGGGGAGCGAAGCGAAGGTGATCTCAGTAAATTCCGCGAAGCCTTTCCAATCAGCTTTAGAAAATTTGATATAGGTCCGGTGTTCCGCGGAAGCAAAGTCGGTTGGTTTATCGATCGAGATGACTATGGGCAGATGGTCTGATGCCAACGTCAGCATAGGTCGCCATAATGCGCTGCTTATTAGACCAGCGCTGACTATTGTTATGTCTGGCGAGCTGCAGCAGCTGCCCATAATCCTGGTGGGTGCGTGATCGTTCATTGTGCAGAATGTCGAATCGTCTATCTGCTCAGCCAGATGTATTCCCCTACGATCGTTTGACAGGCTTGAGTGCCAAAGATCGTGGTGCGCATAAAAGTCACCTAGCAGTTGACAGGGGGTATGTACACGTTAAATATTTCGAGCTCGACATCGCCTGACCGGATAGCAATGCCCTGACATTCTAGGGTGGTATCCCTGCGGTAGATGTCTGCTTCAATAAGACGATACTGCACGGTGTGGTGCGTGATGACCGCTAAGCCACCATCATTATCTCGCTCGCGATCTCGACGGTGCGCGTTGTACAATGCCTTCCCATGAAGACGGTTATCTCCTCGATCTTGCTCTGAAGTCCGTTACAGATAAATTGAAGGAGCTTCATGTGGTTCGGGAGATGTGTAGTTATGCGGGGTGTGAGGGATGTGTGTGGCCTTGCCGTCATTGGCTGTGTGCGCTGCTGTGGAGGGTGCCGCCCTGTGGTGGTAGTGGGTGGCGTCGCAGTTGGGGTTTGCGACCGGGCGGCGCAACAGGGGCCCTCGAAGTTCCTCGCCCAATCTCGCGTGGTGCGCAGACCTGAACATGCTCTAAAGTGGCACCAGCCAAGGCAGGTGTTGCCCTTGACTGATGTCACGCTACGGAATATCCTGG